TGAATTTTGACTTTCATGAATTTTTATTATCGAAACTATGTGCAGCTTGACATTAACAATGAAGATATATATTGGATCACAAGGCCGATTTAATGGACTGTAATAGTTGAAAAAGGAAAGATCATAAAGCCTACAAAGAGACTAGTTGTTTCGTTACCACTAAATCATCCACTACTATAAAACGACAAGGGGTTCGGATAGGGATAAGCCCTTCAATTTCTAACCCCCACGCTAGAATGTTTAGTTACGGATATGTAATTAGGTATTTATTACGGATTCAGATAGAGAATGTAAAGAACAATGGGGTTCTTGTTCTAAGATCATAAACAATGGAAAAGCTTTCTTTAGTGTTATTATAATATTTTTTTATTAAAAAAACATTTTATGATTCAAACTGTATTAAATTAAAGAATATTATTTTTTATTTTACATAAAAAAAATATCTTAATGTTTAAAATGCTTAAACTATTAATTATAATCACATGATAAATTTGATAAAATTAATGTTCATACTATATTTCATATATTTAATGATAATTTGATAAAATTAAGGTCCATTCTATATCTCAATTATTTAATAGTTTTTTTTTATATATTTGATTATGAGTCATATAAAAAAAAATAATTTTTCCTTATTTCTAAATCCCTTCTCACCTAACTCAAAATTCGAACTCGAGGTATTCAACTTCAAGTCTCAAGCTCTTAATCGTTTAACCACTCATTGGGGTTCAATTATTTAATAATTATAATTAAATATCTTTACATTTTAATAGTATGATAATATATATTGACATTTTAAATGGTAACAAGGCATCCTATTTTTTCTGTTTTCTTTTATATATATATACTAATATTTTTCTGTATTTAATTTTTAAATATAACACCTAAAAAAATATTTCCTTTCAAATGCATACATTTGAACAAATTTTTCTTAAAAGTTATACCAATTTTATTTTATTCTACCTGCATAAAAAACTTTAATCCCCAAACATTTTTACTAAACCGTTGGATCAA